GCGCCGGACTCAGCCTCCGCCTCCGCCTCGGGCTCCAGCGCCCGCTCCGCCATCCCCCCCCACCCTGGTTACCAGCCTCCCCCGTTGTTAGGAGCCCGACCGGAAGTGGCGCGCATCTTCCGCGCCGTCGGGAAATTTCTCACGGATTCTCACTGCCCCGGGCGCCAAAAGGAGACTCAGGGCTGGAGCTGCGCATGCGCGCAAACCTATTCTTGCCACCATCCCTTTTTCTGTTAAACTTTCTAACTTCGTTTAGAGGGAGGGCATAAAGTTTATGCCCAGCACTAGGACAGAGGAGCCCGTGGGCCCTGAGGAGTGGGAAGAACCCACTGCTGATTCTTCAAGATCCTGGGGAGGGGATGCTGCATAGCTACACAGGAGGCAAGCAGCCCCAAGACAGAAAATTTTTATTTGCTGTCCACGCAAAGGTCATCTCGCGCTTTCACGTCAGTCCGGCAGTCCACAGCCTCCTTGGGCCACTGCCTCCTCAGACTCAACTCTGGCCCTGCTGCTGTCGCTGCACACGCTCGTCTTCCTCCTGGCCCTCACGCTGGGACTGGCGCGAATCCTCCAGTCCTGATGCCGCCAGGAGCTCCCCCGTGGACCCAGCCAGCCGGAAGACCACGGGGATGCGGGCCAGGGCTGGGTTGGTCTCCTGCAGGCCCTGGATCCACCTGGCTAGCGTCTCCTGGTCGTGGGCACCCGCCATGCATATGGCGAAGACTGGGCCTTCCTCCACTGTTGCGAGAGAGGTTTGCCTAATGGGGTGCAGCGGCTCCCTCTGTTACGCCCCTTCACCACAGGCTACTTCCCGTCTCCTGCCTGCAGCTGGGCCTTCCGCCCACTGCCCGCCCCCCCCGCCCACCCTGAGGGCTGGGCCCGTCCTGGTCATACCCAGCACCAAGTGCGACAGAATTGGCGGTGCCTGGGAACCCTGTAAACGGTGTCTCAGCCTGGGAGCACGAGGGCCACAACTCCTGGGGCCGAGTCCTCGATGTCTGCTTTACCTTCATCGATGTCAAACTCGTAGTCATCCCAGCCGCTCCTTGCATAGTCCAGGTCCAGCTGCATCGGGTAGTAGAGGTTCCACTCCTCCGGGATCTCCTGCACTTCCTGCCTCGAGGAGGATGGGGCAGGTTGTCAGAGGCCGGAGTCCGGCAGCCTCTTTCCACCCCCAGGCCCCAGGTGGGCGCTGTGCCCTTACCTTCTCCTCCGGGGGCAGCAGGTCGGCCCTGAGGATGTGGTAATAGACACACTTGTTGCGCAGCCACAGGGAGAAGGGTCCCTCCACAAAGAGCGGCCGGGCTGGGTTGTGGCGGGCCAGGGCGTCCTGCTGGTCGGGACTCTGGATGCCTGGGGTGGAGACCCGTGTGTGTGCCGGTGCCAGCTTGGAGGGACAGGTCAGAGAGGCGGCCCGGGGTGGGGCAGGGCTCACCTACGATGTGGGGCTGAATGGAATCCGCTGGATCTCTTGTGTCATCGGGTGAAGGCTTCTGTGAGGAAAAGTGGGAGAAGCTTGTGACCCTTAGGTCCTACAGGAGGAGCCAGGAGAGGGAGACAAATGGGGCACCTGCAAATCCTGGACAGGTCTCCCACACGTCATGGACACCCATCCTCTCCTTTCTATCTGATCTGGCCAAAGCCACCAACATTTAAGATGCTCACACCTAGGGAACCCTGAAGCCAGCCATCTACTTTTAACATCCTGGCTGTTAAGCCAGGTGTGGGGGTGCACACCTGTATTCGAAGCACTCAGGAGGCTGAGGCAGGAGGATCACCACAAATTTGGGCCCGCCTGGGATACACAGCAAGACCTTGTCCCAAAAACAGACAAAATCCTGGCTGCCATATTCTGTGTGACCTTGACCAAGTCACTGTACCTGCATGCCTGTTTTCCAGTTGCAAAATCACAGTAATAGCCCTTACCTCAGGTGACACTGAACCATTTAGAACAGTGCTTAGCAAAAAATACGTGTCCAGTGCCTTTGAATTAAAAAGGTAATAATTTTACACCACAGATATCCCAGGAAGGAGTCCCAAGAATCAAGTTCTTAACAGTGTTTTGGTTTTTGGTTTTTTGAGGGCCTCACTATGCAGTTCAGGCTGGTCTCAAATTCTCGGCAATCATCCTGCCTTAGCCCCTTCATCGCCGGGGGATTACAGGCGTGCAGCGCCACACCCACGTAAATAGAGTAGTGTTTAAGGTGGGAAGGAATTCCCTTTGGTATCTTTTTAAATTTTATACCCTGAATATGACTTCTTAAACAGCAAAATAGAATCTTTTTCTTCTCTTTCTTTGCAGTACTAAGACTGAACCCATAGCCCTGCACATACCAAGCCAGTGCTGTGTCACTGAGCTCTTCCCGGCCCTTTCTGCGTTCTGACTTTGAGACAGGGTCTCCTGAAGTTGCCCGGCTGGCCTGGAACTTGCAGCTCACCCGCTTCTGCCCGCTGAGCAGCTGGGATCAGAGGTGTAAAATCCCACTGGCTGACACTGATCTTTTCTGAAGCGTACAAGCTGTGACTGAAGGAGGCAGCAGACAGCTGTAGGGATGCCCAGCACCACCCTCTCAGGTAAGGAAGGGTCGAGGTGGCTCCGCAGCTCCCAGGATGCACAGGTGAAAAGGAAGGCACCGCAAGTGTAGTAGATACAGTGCTCTGCCGGCTGGGCCTGCGGCTCTGTGGTGAAGTGCTTGCTTAGGTTCTGGGTCATACCCCCAGCACACCAAAAATGAACAAAGCAAAACAGGCCTGCTCTTTGAGAAACTCCTTCCTTCCTTCCTTTCTTTTTTGTTTTGTTTTTAGAAACAGGGTCTCATTGTGTAGTCAAGGCTGGTCTTGAACTCACTACAGAGCCCAAGGTGGCCTTAAACTTGCAGTGATCCTCCTGCGTCAGCCTCCCTAAGTGCTGGGGTTACAGGTTACACCACACCCAGCTATCTTTTTCTCTTTTTCACACGTTCCCATTGGCCTGAACCACCAGAGGTACATGTGTCTGACTGTCCCCTTAGGTAGCTTGTACCACCTGAGACTTCCATGCCACCTGAGGGGACAGGCCTGCATGCACTTTGGGATAGGACTTTTGTTTTTTTTTTTTTTTTTTTTTTGGTCTTTTTGAGACAGGGTCTCGCTATGTAGTTCAGGTTGGCCTTGAGCTCACTTTGTAGCCCAGGCTGCTCTCGAACTCGCAAGGATCCTCCTGCCTCAGCCTCCGGGGGGGTGGGATTACAGGATTACAGATGTGCATCACCATGCCAGGCTAAGCCTCTTGATAAAGTCCCCAGCCTCAGATATTTTGCCCTAGCAACAGCACATGCACTAACAGCACCTGAAGGGACAGAAACAACGGCAAGATGTGGTAGGAGCAGGGCTGCAGGAATCCACCAGAGAGCGCAGCCCGGGACGCGGCTCCTTTAGCACAATGACCTGGGTGGGTGGAGGGGACCGAGGACAGGAAGGCGTGTGTACCTGGTAGACGGTGACCCTGGCGCTGAGGTCAGGCTCCATGTGCCGCAGGCCCAGCGTGGCCAGCTCCACTGCGTCCTGGGGCAGCTCGCGGGGCACCGGGAAGGGGTTGACGTTCTGGAAGCGTGTGAGCCACAGGCGCATGCGCACGAACTTGAGCATCGGGTGGCTGCGGCGCCCGAAGATCTGCAGCAGCAGGAACTCCGTCTCCTTGTTGGGCATCACTCCTGCGCCAGGCAGAGGAGGCAGAGCCTCAGGGTGCGGTGCGGTGCGGGGTGAGGGGGCAGGGAAGATGGTGCAGCGGGGCGCGGACAGAGATAGGAGAGGGAGGGAGGGAGAGTTACAAAGTGTAGCTCAGACGCAAAGCCTTTGCCTGGCATGCTAGAGGGCCTGGGTGCCATCCCCAGTATGAGACAGAGAGAAAATTTCAAAAGGAAAGGGCCCAGGAAACCAGGGAAGACTGAGACAAAAAGAGTATTCAGCTGGACATGGTGGCGCACGCCTGTCATCCCAGCACTTGGGACGCTGAGGCAGGAGGATCGCTGCAAGTTTGAGGCCAGCCTGGGCTACACAGTGAGTTCAAGGCCAGCCTGAACTAAGTAGTAAGACCCTGTCTCAAAGAACTGAAACAATAAAGAAGAAAAGGAGATTGAGCAAAGCGGAGTAAGCCGACGCCAGAGAGGGCGGCGCCGGCGGCGGAGGGAGCTGGCGGCTCCTCACCGTGGTTCTCCATCTGCTCCAGCACGGCCACGCCGCACTCCTGCTGCCGCGGGTAGTGGATGAAGATGCGCTGGAAGATGTTGCGCGGCCGGAAGACCTCCTTGGGGAAGATGTCCAGCAGGAGGTTGTAGGCGGCCAGGTCGCGCTCCACGCCGTACTCGCGCATCTTGCGCAGGGCCAGGTAGATGAAGTCCACGTGGCCGCGCTTGCGCACGTTGTGCTGTCCGAAGCTCTGCACGGCGCGCACGAAGCTGGCTTTGTCCCGCGCGCTGCCCGGCGCCCGCTGGAACAGCTCCTCGTGGGGCGCGGGGACCTTCCCAGGCTTCTTTTCAGGCTCAGAGGGACGAGGGACCAGGGACTTCGTGGAAGTGTAGGGGGTGGCGCTGCAGTGGAGGCCCCGTGGGAGGAGGGGCGACACCTGGGGACAGAGGGCACTGCTGGAATACAGTGAGTGCCCCTGGACCTGGGGGTTCCCAGCGGGCTTTTCCTAGGAGCGGTGGCACTGGTGGCCCCAAGGCTGACCAAGAGTGTGTGGTGCAGAGGTTACAAACCCAAGCTTGGGGAACCAGGCTTGGTGCCACAGGCCTGGAAGGCTGAGGCAGGAGGGTCGCTGTGAGTTCTAGGCCAGTCTGAACTACAAAGCAAAACTGTCTCAAAAAACTAAAACCAGAATCCAAGACTGGACACCATTACACACTGATAAAACACAGCCCTGCCAGATGGGAGAACATGGCTGTTAGCCATTGGCAGGGACAGGAGGCAAAACTGCCACGCAGGAAGTTTAGTAACGTTCACCACAATGACGGTGCACACCCTTTGATGGCGGCAGTCCTGCACATGAATGTTTTAGATTTTCCATGCTTTCTTTGTCAGTTGACAATGTAGTACTGGGGATCGAACCTGGGCATTCACAAAGAGCTACATCCCTAGCCCTTTTGCCTTTATTGTATTGTATTTTATTTCTTTTAAATTTGGAGACAAGTTCTCTATAAATTTCTAAATTGTCCAGGCTGGGCTCAAACTTGTGATCCTCCTGCCTCAGCTTCCCAGAACACTGGGATTATAGGCATAAGCCACCATGCCTGGCATCTTTAAGTTTTTATTTTTTTGTGGTACTGGGGACCAAACCTAGGGGTGCTCTACCACCACGCTACATCCCCTGACCTTATTTTTCTATTTTTTTGACAATTAAGTTTATTGGTGCATTTTAGATATACATAATGATCACATTCATCATGGGGAATTCGTACCTGTACATTGCCGAAAGTTTGAGGCCAGCCTGGGCTACATATATCTTGGTTCCTGTTTTTCCCATTCCCCTCCCTTCCCTTCAACCCCCTTTCTCCTTATTTACAACAACTTTGTTTCCTTCTTTTCTTGTTTGTTTTTCTTTCCCCTTTCTTTTTTACCCCTATTTTTCTGAGACAGGGTCTCACTAAGTTGTTCAGGCTGGCCTTAAACTTGTGATCCTCCTGTCTCAGCCTCCCAAGTAAATGGGATTACTGGTGTGTGTATTGGGGGGGACAGGTACAGTGGCACTCCTCTAATACCAGCACTCAGGAGGCTGAAGCAGGAGGATTGCTGTGAGTTCAAGGCTAGCCTGGGCTAAACAGTGAGACCTTGTCTCAAAAAAAAAAAAAAAAAAAAACCAAAAAAAAAAAGGGGCAAAGACAAGACAAGAAACGATATTAAAAACATTAGACCGAGGGCTAGGCACAGGGAGAAGATCAGGTTTCTGTGTCCATCTTTACATGCGTTGCAGGAGGAACCCACAGTCATCCCCCGAATCCGCCCAGCCCCTGTGCCCTTAATGTCAGAGTTGACACCCTCACCTTTTTGGACACAGGCCCCTTAATTACGTGAGCCTCCTGCAACCTCAGTGCAGACCAGCTGGCTTCATTTTTTTATTTTTTTGAGGCAGGGTCTCACTATGTAGCCCAGGCTGGCTTTGAACTCGCAGGAGTCTTCCTGCGTTGGCCTGCCGAGAGCTGGGATGACAGACGTGCCTCCCACGCCTGGACAAGCTGGCTCCTTTGGGGAGATGCTGAAGGGGATGAAGGCGAACCCCAGGCCTTCCTCCACGCGCCCCGCAAATGCCCCCCTGCCCGCGGTTACCTGGGAGAAGGGGGCTCCGGGGAGGATGGCGCTACAGATGGCTGCCCGGCCCCGAGGGAGGCCTCGGGCCAGCAGTGCGGCTCGAACGCAGCTCATGCTCAAGCTCTAGGTCTTGGGTTGGCTCAGGCCGCCACCTGGCCGGAGAGAAGAGACGTTAGTCCGGAACACCCAGGCTTAGACGACTGCTTCACTGGCAGTCCTGCTTCTGCTGGGCGCAGCCGTCACTGTTTTCAGGCACTTGCTCCAGGGACAGCCCCTCCCTACTGGACCAGTTTTTTTTTTTTTTTTAAACTTATTTGTCATCTATTTTATTAGATAAAAAGGCTCATAAAGTGTTCTGTTGCCTTTTTGTTTCTCAAATCAGTTTTTGTTGTTGTTTTCTTTTGTTTTTTTGAGACAGGATCTTACTGTATAGTTCAAGTTGCCCCTGAACTAACTATATAGCCCAGGCTGGCCTCAAACTTTCGGCAATCCTCCTGCTTCAGCCTCCTGAGTGCTGGGATTAAAGGCGAGCACTACCATGCTTCCGCTCAATTGTCTTTTAAAATGTAAACAAGAGCCCGGTATGGTGGCTCAGGCCTGTCTTTCTAGCACTCTGGGAGGCTGTGGCAGGAAGATTCCAAGTTCCAGCCTGGGCAACTTTATAACTTTGAGAGATTTCGTCTCAAAAGAAACATTAAAGAAAAGAAATAAAAAACGCTGGGGATGTACCTCAGTGCAAAGGCACTGGGTTCAATCCCCAGAACCAAAAACAAAAAGCGAAAAGGACATGGGGATTTGGCTTAGTGGCACAGTCCATGTGTAAGGCTCTGAACTCATTCCCAGCACTGCAAAAACAAAACAAAACAAAACAGAACAAAACACACACAACCAACCAACCCCTAAACCATGTACTTCCACTTTTGAGAATTCATTCATTATCTTGGCAACACAGGGGATGGAAGCCACGGCCTCCCACAGCGCGCAGGCGCTGACCCGCAGCCCAGCGCCAGGCACCCCTCGCATAGCGGCGCACCCTGAAAGGTGAATTTGAACAAGGCTGTGGGGAGCGCTTGCCTGGCCCTGCGTGCAGCCCCGGGCTCGGTTCTGTCCAGCCAAGCCCCGCATCAGTGGGCCTGAGATGTGACAGGGTCACAAGCACACAGCGGGTGAGGCTGCAGGCTGACCTCAGAGAGGAGGCCTCCGCAGGCCCTCACCTTCCCACACCCGGGATCCAGCCCAAGGCCTCTGCGTGCGAAGCACGCGTTCTAGCTCAGCCTCAGTCTTGGCCCCAGGTTTTAGGGGTTTTTTGGTTTTTGTTTTTAGTATATCCACAGAGTTTGTGATCATCACTATGATCTAATTTAGAACATTTTTACCAGGGTGCAAGCCTGTAACCCCAGCACTTAGCAAGTTCGAGGCCAGGGTGGGCTACATAGTGAGTTCAAGGCCAGCTGGAAGGGCATAGTGAGACCCCGTCTCAGAAACCAACTCCCCTGCTGGGCGTGGTGGCACACGCCTGTCATCCCAGCACTCTGAAGGTTGAGGCAGGAGGATCCCTGTCAGTGTGAGGCCAGCCTGGGCTACATAGTGAGACCCTGTCTCAAAACAAAACAAAACAAGACAACAAAAAAACTAACTGCCCCCCGGCAAGAAGTCTTTAAATATTTTGGATGAATATCAGATTTTTTTTAGGCAATACTGGAGATTGAACCCATAGCTTTTGAACTGATCTACACCTCCAACTTTTTAAAAAAATTTATGTATGTTTTCATTTGAGTCACCAAGTTGCCCAGACTGGGCTCAAACTCCTGTCTTAGCCTCCCAGAGTGTTAGGATTATGGAGTTATGCCACCCTACCCAGCGGCACTAGACTCTTAGGCAAATATTTTCTTCCATTCTGTGGGTTGTCTTTTATTTTCAGCTTTGAGATAGGGTCTTCCTGTGTTGCCCATACTATTCTTCAATCGCTAGACTCAATCGACCCTTCTGCCTCAGCCCTCCCAACGCCTGTGCCACCATGCCTATCCTTTTCTCTTTATTTTTTTCTTTTTTGGGGGCTGTTGAGACAGGGTCTTGCCTTGTAATTTAGGCTGGTCGTGAACTCCCTATGTAGACCAGGCTGGTGTTGAACTTGCGGCGATCCTCCTGCCTGAGCCTCCAGGGTGCTGGGATTACAGGCGTGTACCACCATGCCTGGCCCTTTTCCTTTCTTGACATTTTCATCTGCAGCCAATTAAAAAAATAATTTTTATGAAATACTAATTTTTTCAAGTTAAAACATTTTAAGCAAGAAGTCATTTTTATCCTATTATTATTTTCAGCCCTGGGGACTGAACCTAGGGCCTTCACAGAGAGCTGCTCCTTAGCCCCTTTTTATTTTTATTTTTTTGAGAAAGGGTCTTGCTAAATTGCCCAGGGTGGGCTGAAACTTTCAGTCCTCCTGCCTCGGCATTCAAGGATGCTGGGATGCCAGGCCTGTGCCACCACGCCTGGCTCTAGAAGTTGTAAGTCCACCATGTTCCTCACCTCTCCATTCAATCCATCAGCTAGTCCTGGTGAGTACGCACTTCCAAGTCCACCCCAGATGTCCGCACTGCTCTCTGTCTGCAGGCTACCACCCCGTCCACGAGCTCTTTCCTGGATACCTACCCAGCCCCCCTCTTCTGCACCCCACTCAGCTCTCCCTCCAGGGCTGGAGAGAGCTTTGGGAAGCGGCAGCCAAGCTATGCAGGGACACAGATTTTGAAACAAGCCAAGCTGATCCCGGTCTCAGACCCCCTGTACTTCTCCCTCTGCCTGGAACTTTCTTCCTCCAGATCTCGCAAATGCTCTGCTCATCCAGGTCTCTATTCAAAGAGAGTTCTTTTCCGGTCACCTCCTCATTCTCCCAGTCTAAAATAAGAGCCTTTCTTAAGGATGAGGCAGGCGGATCTCCTCGGATTCAAGGCCAACCTGAACTATATAGCGAGACTCTATCAAACAAACAAAACCGTTTCTCATTCTGATTAATGCATTTTTAGCAATTACCAGTATCTGAAACCACCCGTTTATTTCTGACTTATTCAGTGTCCGGCTATCTGAGGAGACAGAAGATTTCGGTCTAGCTTTCTCACTGCTATCTAGAGGAGCGGGGGCGGCGCCAGGTATATGGTTAACTGTCAGATAACTGCGAATAAGCGGTGAGTTTCCACAAAACGCCTATGATTGGCATCCTGAGATAGGTGTAATCTAACAGCTCCTAGACCCGGCTGCCAGGAAACAGGCAGGCGCAGCTTTCACTTCGCGCCGCGGTGTGAGCTCGGGCGAAAGCCTTGACCTCTCTGAGTCACCTATGCACCCCAAAGCGGGAGATTACGACAGCGAGGCAGCAGACGCATGGCGGGCAGCCTCTTCCCGCAAGTCCCCGTCCCGCTCCCCAAAAGGTCACAGCGCCCCGACCTTGCAGCCGGGTCTCTCTGGGGCCACCCTCCCCCGCTGCCAGGTCCCCAAGGGGATGTCCGAGTCCCCAGACGTTCGTGTCCACCTCCCCGCGTGCGCCCTACCTACTCACGCGACCGGCCACGGAACCCGGGCCGGTTCCGTCTTGCCCCTGGGCGCCGCCATGTCCGTCCATAGAGCTTCCGGGTCACGGGTCATCAGCGAGGCAGCAAATCAAGAAAGCCGATTTTGACAGATTCCGCCCCCAAGATGATAATCACCAATAGAAGGGATAGATGACCTTGGTCCCGCCTCCTAAGGAGAAAGCCACGTCCCTAACCTGCCAAGCAAACCGCAGATCTGGAAACTGTGGAGCACGGAAAGGAGGGGTTGCATTTTCCTGGGTGTGAAGATGGATTTAGGAGGCCTATGAGTCCAGCCTGGGGCCCTAGTTATCTGACCAGAAAACCAGGGGTGAATTATTAGAAGGGGGAGAAGTATGGATTCACTCATTCACTCGACAAGCATTTTTGAGTGCTCACTGTGCCGGACACGGTTCTAGGCTCCGAGGATGCCGCGCTGATGTTGAGACAGGCTGATGCCCGCCTGATTCTTAGCTAAGTCTTAGCCCATCTGTGCCTCAGTGGCCTCACCTGTGAGATGGGTCAATTATAATACGCTTGATATGTTTAAGAAATATATATATATTTTTTGTTTGCTTTTAGGTTTTCTTTCTTTCTTTTTTTTCCCCTTGAGCCACAGTCTCGGTATGTTATCTAGGCTGGCTTGAATCCCTGAATCCAGTGATCTTCCTGTCTCAGCCTCCCGAGGAGCTGGGCCTACAGGAATGCGCCAGCACCTGCTAGCTTTAATAGACTTTTATGGACGTTGAATTAACCTACGCGGAACAGCCATAAAAGAACAATATGGAAGGGGCTGGGAATTTAGCTCAGCGGCAAAGCGCCTGCCTGGCAAACGCAAGGTCGTAAGTTCGATTCCTGGTACTGGAAGAAAAAAAAAAAAGAACAATATGGACAGTCGTGTTGGGGATTCGCTGTCAGCGCCCCTGACACCCTTCCAAATAGGAGGGAATGGAGTCTGGGTTGGCTTCGCGGGCCACCCACACTCACTGTCCGGTGGGGTTTCGTGTGTGTACGTGATTGTGTCCGCGGGACTGTGTGTGTGACTCTGTGATGTTGGAGTGGTAGAA